ACCTGATGGAAAGCGGTAACCGTCGCCTACAGACATGAGCAGTACCATGGACATAACAGAGTATACTGTTTCGCCCATGATACCCCTCATGCGTTGCCATTCCTGAGAACTCAAATGTTATTCCTCTGTACCCTGTAAATTCACGCTATATCCCACTGTTCAAACCGAAATACAGCTATGCAAACACAACTGCTTCACGGTTGAAACACGAATGGGACAGAGGTACCCAAGCAATCGACTTTTGTACAAAGTCTCCCTCTGGACGGTCTCTAGCGGTTTGTGGAAGGTGGTAAATAACGAGAATAATTCAAGATATAAAATGTAAACTTGTATATTGAATAGACTGGCTAGCACAGAGCTTGTATCGCGAATATGTATAAGATATGTGAACATATTTTTAATTTAATTGAACATGAAGCTAGCAGTGAATTTAAAACAAAAACATTTTCAACTAGTGTAAAATCAAAGTTTTGTGACTGGGCCACGTTTGGTATTTATAAGTCTAGGGCTAATCTTTACGAACTTTACGAAAAACGAAGCTATATATCCGATCCCTTATTTCATGAACATGTAAAATCTTATTCGAAAATATTTAAAAAGGTTTGTCATACAGCTAAGTCTCTCTATTTAGGTAAAATAATAACTAAATCTAAAGATAAAATAAAAACCACTTGGAAAGTAATAAATAGCGAAACTGGAAAAGTTAATTTTCAAAATAGCAAAATAGCTTTAAATATTAATAACAAATTGGTAAATTCCGACACAGAGGTCGCGCATACATTCGAATCTTATTTTACTAATATTCCATTAATTACGACACAGGCTCTAAAATCTTCCCGTCTGCTGCTGAAACTTTACTAACAGACAATGTTAGCAAGTCATCAGCTGTATTTAACTTTAGACATACATCATGTAGAAATAATGAAAATATTCAAACAGCTTAATAATAAAAAAACAGAGGATCTATGGGGTATATCTGTTAAAATACTGGATAGTATAATGGAAATTATTGCGCCCTCTCTTGCTTTTATTTTCAATAAATGTATAGATGAAGGTAAATTTCCTAACATAATGAAAATTAGTAAAATCATACCGCTTTTTAAATCTGGAGATAGGAGTGACCCAATAAATTATAGACCTATATCCATACTCCCAGCACTCAGTAAAATTTTTGAAAAAATAATCCTTATGCAACTTGTCAGTTATTTCAATTTAAATAATTTAATCCACAATAGTCAATTCGGTTTTTCCAAAGGTCGTTCAACTACAGACGCAGGTGCAGAGTTGCTTAGACACGTATTTGCTGCATGGGAAACTAAAATGGATGTGATAGGTGTTTTTTGTGACCTTTCTAAGGCTTTTGATTGCGTTGATCATAATACATTGCTAAAAAACTTGCTTTTTATGGCGTCAAAGACAATGCTTTAAATTTAATAAAATCTTATCTATCTGATAGAATACAGAAAGTGAAGATTAGCAACGCTACGTCTGACGGGTCACTTGTGCAAATGGGTGTACCTCAAGGATCTATTCTCGGTCCATTTTTATTCCTAGTTTACATTAATGATCTCCCATATGCCATGCAGGATAGATGCGGTATAGTATTGTTTGCAGACGATACTTCATTGATTTTTAAAGTTAATAGAATGACTAATAATTATGACGATGTAAATAGTGCTTTGCGGCGTCTCCTGCACTGGTTTACAACTAACAATCTTATGTTAAACGCTAAAAAAACAAAATGTGTTAATTTCTCTCTATCTAAAAGTTTTAATAATTGCAATATTAAATTAAATGACGAATCTCTCGAATTTATAGAATCTACTGTCTTTCTAGGAATCACACTAGATAGTAAAACACAATGGGGTGCACAAATTCAAAGCCTTGCAGCGAAACTAAGTTCAGCAGCTTTTGCCGTGCGTAAAGTTAGACAGTACACTGATACTGATACTGCTAGATTAGTCTATTTTAGTTATTTTCATAGTTTACTCTCTTATTGAATATTACTATGGGGGAAAGCGGCAGATATTAAGAATATATTCATATTACAAAAACGTGCCGTTCGAGCGATCTACTGTATGAAGAGTCGTGACTCATTAAGAGAGAAATTCAAAGAGGCAAATATTCTCACCGTTACTTCTCAATTTATATATTCAAATATTCTATATGTTCATAAAAATCTTGACTTATTTCCAAAAAACAGCAATATTCATAATATTAATACTAGATTTAAAGACAAACTTGCTGTCCCCAAGTATCGTTTAGAAAAAGTTAATAGGTCTTTTATGGGAATAGGTATAAAAATTTACAATAAGATACCAAAGGATATGTTGGAATTACCCTTAAATAAATTCAAAACATCTGTTAAATCATATTTACTGAGCAAAGCCTATTACTCACTAAACGATTACTTGAATGACGAGTGTGCATGGCAATAGTTGTTCATGCACTGAATTTTCATTTAATGTTAGACATAGACACCTATATAAATATACATTGTAAATAAACTGGCTTTAAAAAAAAAAGTAATTCAATTGAGTTTCTTGCCAGTTCTTCTCAATTGGATCTATATACCGAACTGGACGGTAGGGTAAATATAAAATTATAATGTACAAATTTGACGTTCAAAAGCGGCTAAAATGTCCTACATGAATAAATGATTTTTGAATTTGAATTTGAATTTGATAAAACGTTCAAGTTACGTTGATTAATTTAGGTCACTTACAAATTAGGGAACGGTGCAAAGTTCGCTTTGGAATTATGAATAATCATTGTGCAATATTACATGTAGGCACATATCTGTTAGACATACACCTTACATCTATGTACTATAAATATCAAAAACAAGACCTTAAAAAATTTCTTTGAGATCACTGCCCACTGGTAAGGTAGCTAGGAGACTAGCTGCATTTTCTGAATAGCTATGAAGATGCGTTGACCAAAGTATAAGCCAGCCTTCTGGTCGCCAGAGGTTTCCACCAGTCAACGTGATATTGACATTTATACTTGTACATACATACATATCTGTCACGCCTGTCTCCCATTAGGGTAGGCAGAACCAATGGAACGCCAAATGCTTCGATTCAAACAAACCTCTTTGTTTATTTATTTAAATTACTCACCAAAATATGATATAAAAGGTGGACTTAACGCTGGTAGCGTTAAATAAGTCTTATCTTGGGTACGCTGCCTCGATGTGGTGCGTTGGGAGACTATTTATGATTAATTGTAAATGTAGTTATTTAAAAAATTGTATATGCTAGTAACTTATGTATATATATATATATATATATATATATATATATATATATATAAACAGTGGTAATTAGTATCACGACATCGCCCGCGTGAATCCGACGTGCTCCATCTCAATAGGAAATTCGGGAAATTCATAGTGAATACTTACGTCATAAACCCATTCAGCCAGGTATCTACATAGTTGTTTACCATGGCATGTGCCATCGTGAAGGGATAATTGGGAATTCTTAGTAAATGGCTTCGTCATTTACCCATTCGCAGAGGTACACTTACCATACAAAATTGTAGTTGCTTACTTCGTGTATTTAGACTGTACCTCTATATATAATTTTTTTTTTGTATGTTAGAAAGACTTTTTGAAAATTCTAAAGTTAATACAATTGAAAGGCATTAAGATACTTTCTTCTTTTGAGTTCTCAATGTTGACTGGAAGAAATCCCTTTAAGTGACAAGGCCGCGGCGTGTAGGTTTTCGTTACAACCTGATATGTATATTAAAAATAAATATACAGCATATAAATAAATAAATGTTTATTTATTTTAATGCATTCATGTAGATAATATAGAGTTGTTATGTTCTTATGAAGAGTAAGTACATGAACGTAGAACCTATCCTTATAATCACTTAGTCCTACGTATTTCCAGTTTTATGTGTGTTATATATATGTGTATTAGTATGGTATATTTGTATGTATTTATGCGTATATATGTATATGTATGTATATATATTTATGTATATATATATATATGTATATGTTTGGATGTATGTGTATATGACTATGCTGTCACAGATATTATTTTTTACAATTCTATTTTTTTTAACGCGCCACCTACCTATTTATGCTTTAATTCCTTCTACCCAAAGGTTGTCTGGAAGAGATTGCTTAGCAATAACACCGCCTTTTGTACTACACTATACTTATTGAAAATTGTTTAACAAATCATGTTATGTTGGTGCAATAAAGTGTTAAATAAATAAAAAAAAAACCCTGTTTGGGTGTAGTAAAATTTAAATGACAGGTATTTAATATACATAATATAAATAAGACATAGTTTTGCTTATCTTCACACAGTATCAGCACTTTTTTCTTATAATATTTTATTATTGATATATTGTATCATTTAAGCTGTGTGGTCCCGGCATAGAATAGGCCACGCCTTCCTTTCCCGTGGGTGTCGTAATAGAAAACTAAGGGACGGCGAGAGATGGGCCGCAGCGTTCCTCTTAAAACATCTCCAAAGCCTAACTGCGGTTGCCAATCCGCCTGCCAAGCGTGGCAACTACTGGTAAAACTGTCCAAGCAGTGGACGGTTAAAGGCTGATATGATTTAAATGTCAATTTAAATCAAAATTTAATGAATTTTAGCTACTCTCCAATAGTGTTACGGTCACCACAATAGCAACTGTTGACTAATGCCTTTGACTACCCCTTTAGGGATAATAGTCGTGAGTATATTTATTTTTTCGGTGTTCACACTTATACATTTCTTTCCTCTGTGGACCTCGAGTCTTCAGGATAGGAGGTACCAAGCGTTTTACTATATTGCGATGCTTGTAGATATTGGTTAGGAGTTCCCAACAGGTGGTCAGCCTGTTCGCCATTCCGACTCGTAGAAAGCTTAGTTTGTAGTTAACTACCTAAACCAAACTCAAAAGGTGCATGTGTGTTTGTGTGTCGAAAGCTATTAATCCTAATTGGGTTTGTTCGTGACTTTATGATAAAATAAAAGATGGTATTTCGAAAGTTATAGTTTATATTACATTTATAATAAGATATGTAGTCTACAAAATTTCACAAATTTTCACAACGTTATTTGAACCTAAAGCGTCTACCCATTTTATATGAAAATAAAATTATCGAAACCACTGACTGATCTACGTACGGCGGGGGCTGATTTTACGCAACCATTATTTTTTAAAATATAATCTAATAGGCAGTTATTTATTATATCTCGCGTATCTTTACATGAGTAAGTCAAAAACTAATAACGGTAAAAAAATAAAAAAATATCAATTCATAAAACCGGCCCCCGGTGAACTCAACACAAGACAACAACGCTCCCTCACTTTCTCTCACCCAATCACTCGTCACCGGTACCCCGGTACATATACAAACATATTTAATATATCGTTATATTTAACTAGAGTTATACAGAATAATGATTCCTATGAAATATAATTATTATGCATTCTTTAAATTTATTCAATAATATAATAATAATAATACTTAATAAGTATCAATAGGTAATGGTTAGTCAATGTCGAGCTACAGACTACTATATTTTATAATAATGAATGAGTCGTATTAGTTCTTTATCATTTAATCATTTATTATTTAAATTTATTATTACTTGATATACCAGTAAACGAACATACAGCAGCCTCGGCCCGACTTCGGGCACACATAATCACAAAAAAACATTGTCAACACATAAAATAATAATCAATAATAATAATCATACAGATAAAAATCATCCATAAAAACATTACAATAAAAATCTAAACATTAAAACACACTTAAAACAAACATTATATTAATATTATCATAATCATAGTGTGTACGTATATAATATCATTTAAGCGAATAATCGTATAGTCAAAATAATGTGAGCATGGCGCGCGGGGAAGCGATGCGCGCGGCGGCCACCTAACTAGCTCGCTACAGAGTACAGCGCGCCGCAAGCCCGCCACGCAGCGCATGCGCGGCGCGGCGCTGCGGCGCTGCGGCTGCGCACCCACGGCCACGCACACGGCACAACACAGTCATTAGTCTACAACGAGGACACGCGCGGCCGCCGCGGCGGCGCGGGCGCGCGGCGCGGCGCGGCGCGGCGCGGCATTCACACAACCAACCAACTCATTACCTATAAAACAACACATTAGCTAGGCGCGCGGCGCGGTATACACAGCGGCGGCGGCGGCGGCGGCGACGCAGCACGCCAGCACGCCTGCACGCTCGCACGCTCGCTCGCGCGCGCGCGCGCATACACTACACTACGCTAGCTAGACTCTGAACAGACAACAGGCCGCGCGTCACGCTTCCCGCGCCACCCGTCCCTCGACTATTATATTATAATATTATCTTAATACTTTACGCTATTACGTTAGGTAAGCTTTATAAATTTTCGATTTTTCATTACGCTATTCAATAATAATAATTATACAACTTTTTTTAAATTTTATGTTTTTTTTTTCGAAATTCTATCGTAACGTACTTCGACTCTCTCTGTGGCGGCGAGCGCGCCGTGCGCTCGACGACCTAATAAAAAACGTTCATAATAAGAAAATATATCGTGAACAACTCTGCCGACTTACGATAGGTACGGCGCGGCGGACGGGCCGTGCCGGCGAGGCGCCGACTTTTGGCACCAGGATTTCGATTACGCGATTTTTATTCTTTTAATATTTTTATAACGATTCGAGTAAAAAAGATCGATCTCTACTACGAGAACGTGCGGTTCGACGAGATCCGCGTGCGTCGGGTGAACGGGCCTCTAACGCCCGCCCCGCGCCCGCGGCGACGCATCGAAATACACGAGACGCGAGTCGGCCGGCGGCGTGCCGCTTATGAGATGATACGGATCGCCTGCAGCGCGGGCGCCGAGCAGGCGGGGCACGGCGCGCCGCCTGCCGCCAGTCGTTGCGCGCACTCCATGCAGAAGAGGTTATGTCCGCAGGGCACCAGCGCCGCTGCTACACCGCGTTCGCCGCAAACGGTGCATGCGCGTGCTGGTGACGTCGCGGGCGATGGTCGCGTGGGTCCCCATGCCCACACCCCCGCAGCACAGCCCCCTGGTGACTCAAATGATGGGGACTCTCCTAGACCTTCGTCACGCTCCGTTGAGGACCAGATGCCGAGCAGATCGCCGAGTCGAGCTGATGATCCACCCGATGAGCACGAGCCTGCTGAGGAGAACGCAGCTTCTTGTTCGGGCCGTAGCAGCGAGGCGATGCCAGCGCGATATAGTTGTGCAAGAGGTTCTCCATCTGCTGGCGTGGCGCTGGCACCACCGGCTGCACCGGTGCGTAGCGCAATATGCGCTTCGATTTCTTTACGAGCTGCTTCCACGCTCTCCGGCAATCCCGTCACCTCAAATACGGGCTCACGTTCGCGCGACGGTGTCACGATGTATGTGTGGGTGGTGTGTTGTATACGTTTGATAGTGGCGCCCTTAGGTCCGACAACGAGTCCGACGACGCGATATGGTACGCGTACTTGTGCTGTGACATGTCCAGGCGCGCCAGCGGGCGGCGGTGGTGCGGCGCCGCACTTGCGCGACGCTCTAATCTGCGAGAAGTGTTCGGCCGCCGAGAGGATCTCACGCTTGGCCCGGGCAACATCTTCCTTGCGGCCGGTGACAACGAACACCGGTTCTTCGCCACGCACTGGCGTCTTAATGTACGTGTTGGTTTTCGCTCGCAGAGCTTTGATCTTGCAGCCTGAAACAAAGGAAAAAATGTCTGTATATATCACAAGGACATTCTACTCTACGATACATTCGGGGATAAAGTATATAGGAACCGCATTGGCGCCCAATAGGACTTTTAAATTCAAAGTTGTATACATAAATAAATTTGTTAGCGCGGCGTTGTATGACGTTGAATATTGTTAGACGGCACAATGTTCATTTTGGATAGAGAGAGTCGCTCCGCTACGCGAAATCAACGTGGAGCGAAACACTGTTTATTGTGAAGCGCCGCTAGCCTAACAGTCTGCTTTCGAGCGCCGTACGAACCTATCGCACTACTCAGGCAATAAGTATTTGGTGCTACAATAGCGTTTCAGAGCATTATTTTATTAAACTTAATATTAAGTTACATATTCCTTCTACTTAATAAATGTTCGGTAGAAAATGCTGACATACTATACTTAATACTTATTGTGCGTCATTAAAATAATACCATAAAGTAACTTATTCGGTCGCGTTGCTAAGAGGAAAAGTGGCACGTGTAGAGCCTCTGCGGTTTCCATCCTGCACTGGCGCGTGTCGTATGTATATATCTATCCTACTCATCCTACCCCATTGCGGCAAAACAGAGTAGCGCTACAGCATCTTGCTACAGCGAACGTGTATCTGCTTATTGCTACACTCCCCGCTCTTAAAATCCGTATCGGAATTTGATTTTCTATTTCATTCTGGCTGTAAGAAGTAAACCGTGCAAGTTATTAACATCACTAATGCTTACTCCAATGTATGGTTCTAATATAATAATAAAATACGTGTAGATTCATAAAAAATGACGATTTCAAAGTGATTATTTGTTTAGAACTATTTTGTTTAATTCCGCTACCATTAGTATGTGTGCGTCTGCCAACACTCGAAGATTGACCACCATTATTACTATCATTAGTGCCATACTAATGGTAGCGGAATTAAACAAAATAATTCTAACCGAATAACCAGTGATACCGACTTTCGCAAGATAACACTTCGTTTAGTAAAAGATTAAAAAGTGCTTGTAAACAAGTGTATTTGAATAAAGATGATTGGAATTAAATAAATGTTAGCACAATATTTATAATGTATTACATTTGTTTCATTTGAAATAAATATACCGCATTGGCTCATAATATCCGCATAGAATACAATACACGGCAATAACAAATGGGAAAACCTAACGTGTAATAGGGGTAGTTATGTGAATCACAGGGCATCGAACCCAAACATTAAATTCAGTTTTGATACGTTCACATACGCCTACTTCGCACATATAGATTTAAAGTCGATATTCCCCCGTTTCAGTATGGTCGGCAACTAGGCAGTTCAGTGCAGTTGTGTTATTTTAAAACCAAACGATATAGGCGTTAAGGTATAAAATTACACGGCATCGGTTTTTCATTAGGAAATAAAAGAGCGGTGGGTGCAGAGGGATCGGTTTTAAATATGATTCAAATTAGTACGATCGTATTGGGTTGATTAATACAGCGGGGGATGAAGGTGCGGTAATTAATTTGATTCGACATTGTCGAACGACAGTGCTGATTTTTTTAGACAGAAATTGGAAAATATGTTCTTATATATATATTGAAAAAAAAAAAAATGCTTTTTTGAGCATTTTATCAGAGCTGCGGATGTTTGTATTAAATAAAAATAAGTTAGCATGTTACGAAGGATATCTTTTTATATATGTCTCCGACTGGACTGTTTACAATTTCTCCAAAAGGCGCCTGGAAGAAATCGCTTTTAGCGATAAGGCCGCCCATTGTTTTCTCATTGTGATTATTTCTTGTAATTTTTTATATTTATAATAAGTTTACTATTGTAATCTTTTGGAGGAAACAATAAAGAGTAACTATTTTTTTCTTTACTGACAGTATATGTATACTTTTTATTATATAATTATCTAGAGAGAGACTTTGTACAAAACTCCTTTGCTTGGGTACCTTTGTCCCATTCGTATTTCTACCCTAGCAATGTCCGCATGGCAGTGTTGCGGTTTGAAGGGTAGGATATGGCAGTGGATTTTAGGGTACAGAAGAATAACACTTGAGTCCTCAGGAATGGCAACGCCTGGAGGTATCATAGGCTAAATAGTATACTCTGTTATGTCCATGGTACTGCTCATGTCTATAGGCGACAGTTACAACTTTTTATCAGGTGGGCCGTCAGCTTGTTTGCCATTCTAGTTGGATAAAAAAAAAACAAATAGTATGATTTACATGACTTAGATAACGACTTAGAACTAGTCTAGACTGTATAGTGAACTCGACTGTTGGCAAGTAGCCAGCAGGCGGCGGTTGATTCGACGGGAAATTAGCATGCACTTATTAACAAGTGGATGCGACAATGTTTCCAAAAATCTGAGTATAAAATGATTTTTTTTATAACCGATTACGTCCGTGTGAAAGGAATAACAAGTAGTTGTATGTCAATTACTTTGGATAAGCTTTTCAAATAAGGAGTTTTGCCAGCAGTTGCTACGATTGGCAGGCAGTTTGGCAACCACAGTTAGGTTCTTCAGAGATGTTTTAACAGGAATGCTGCTGCCCATCCTTCGACTATAAGTTCTCTTAATCATTTCCTACGACAACCATGGAAAAGGAAGGGGTAGCTCATTCTATGCCGGGGCATACAAGTCGAATGTATGTCACGAATCTATGTCAATTACTACGTATATGTTAAGTTTCAAGAAAATCATATTGAATCGTACCACCCACAACGCCATCTATTAAAATCAATCCGAAGTGGTGATTTCTATACAAAATTACCTGTTTTCAAATTTTCGGTTTATATAAACTTTAACGTTATTATACTTCTTATTTGGTTTTAAACCGTCGTCTCGTCTGTATTATAAGATACAATAAAAAAATTAATCCGTAACAGATTATATATATATATATAACTTATAAAGCAAGCATATACCACAATCCTAGTTCTATAATGCAGTGTCATTAACAAAGAACGTATTAAATTTTAAAAGTTAACAGATCGTCTGATTCCGTACTTGCACGTGCTACGCGGCGCGGCGTCTACGCGGCCGCTACGGCCAGTGCACTCTACGCCGTAGAACCGGGTCACTGAGCCTCCACTCACTCACCCCACCGCACGCTGCCGCAGCCACGCCGCGTAGCAATGTACCCTTGCATTCTACATTATATTTCACGATTCAAGCCTCGCTCGTGGATGTTTGTTTGTACCAGAGGTTATGAATTCTCTACTTCACTTTTGAAATTCATACCAATTTTATAATTTATTGTCAAAACTTTATAAAGCACATATTATATTTTAATATAATTACTTCAACTTTTTTTACAACTTAGAATGTCCACTTGATGGAAAGTGGTAACTGTCGCCTATAAACACTTACAGGAATAACGCCTGAGAACTCAGGAATGGCAACGCATAGGGGTATCATGGGCGAAACAGTATGGTACTGCTCATGTCTATAGGCGACGGTTACCGCTTTTCATCAGGAGGGCCGTCAGCAAACAATTGCCATTCTAAGTTGTATAAAAAAAAACCCTGTAAATTAATAAATATGTAACAAATAAAAACAATACATATATAAATAATCAATAATGTAATTTAGCAATTAATTGATCCGAAGTAATTATTTAAACCACTAGATAAAATAATGAATCCGTGTTGTATAAGTTTGTGTAACTTAAACAAGTTGCACGTGTCACTAAAATGGTTATTTCAGTTTGTGACCTTCAAGCACGCATTTCAAGCGACAACAAAGCCCCATTGTCGGTGCCAGGGGAGCAGTCGACTACTGCTAGTGTGCTCGGACTCCTGGCATCGCTTACAATAATTGCTCATTTTATTTTCTTATTTTAGGCAACAACTTTATAAACATATGGCTACAGAGTACCTTATAATGTAATATATACATTTAAGAATAGATAAAAACTAGCAATTACCTACGACTTCGTCCGTGTGACCGAGATATGTTCGGGATAAAAACAAGCCTATAATCTTTTTCATCCCTATCTATATATTAATTAATATTGTGTATAACATTTACATGGGAGTGGGGATGAGAAGGTATGTTTTTTTTGATGGGTGAAAATGGAACGGTAACCCCGCCTACGCTAACGGGATACGCTGGCGGAGCACCAGTGAAGGGTGATCGATGAGAATGAAAACATGCCAGTTAGCCCATCATGATGAATTCATCAGGAATTAACGATGATAGTTTCCAGGGGGAACCGCGAGGAGGTCGACCTAGTTGGGTATATTGCTAGCAATGGGATTTTTAGTCTTCATTACTAACAATTTCTTTCCCCCTACTGAGAAGGTATGTTAGTCAATGGGGATGTTAATTCCCATTGCTATCAATATAGGATGTGTGCCAAGCAAATGGTCAGGTCGACCTCCACGCGGTTCCTCCGGAAAACCATAGTGATTAATTATTGTCAAATTCACTCTATATTGTAACAGTAGTCACTTCCCGCGGCTCTGCCTGCGTGAATCAGTACACAAAGTATTCCACGTGTTATATCAGTGTATAACCTATCCGTGTACTAAATTCAAAATTAAATGTTGACGGTGACATTTCAACTATGGAATTTGCCACCACAAAAGTAGATGCTTAAATCAGACATTCTCAATTGTTCAAACCCATCAACCGGGAGGAAAGGGATTGTTAACAATGGAGTTTGACTGGCCCATTGCTAGCAATATGCCCTATTAGGTCGACCTCCACGTGGTTCCCCCTGGAAACCATCGTGAACAATTCTTGTTGAATTCGTCACGATGGGCTAACTGACATGCTTCATTCTCATCGATCATCCTTCACTGGTGCTCCGCCGGTGTATACTGTTAGCGCCGGTGGGGTTACCATTCCATTATCACCAATTAAAAAAAAAACACCCGTGAACCAATTATGGCCAATCCTTAGTTTGTAATATATCCGCTATGCCATCGGTTAAAAATTTAAGCATTTACCTTTCAATACTTAAAAAAAAATCAACAATCAATCTTATGCAACGAAGA